AAATAAATAAATAAATAAATAAATCAACAATCATTTTTGATAAGGATCATCTAAAACACCAACTAACATCCAGAGATGTCAGAATGGATACTAATAACATGACCCAAGGTTGATTTGAAATCTGAAAATCAATTAGTGTAATATGCTATATCACTGGAATAAAAGAAAAAATATGAAATCATGTCAATAGATGAATAAGAAGCATTTGAAAAAATGAAATCACCATTCAGGATTAAAAGCTCTCCACTATCTAGCAATAGAAGGAATATCCTTGCCTCTTTTTCCACCATGTGAGCATACAGTAAGAAGTTAGCAGTTGGTGACCTGGAACAGAGAATCAGCACCCAACCATGCTGGCACCCTGATACTAGCCATTCAGCCTCCATAACTGTGAGAAATAAATTCCTGCTGAGAGTCATCACCAAGAAGAGGGGCCTCACCAGATGTGTTCCATAGACCTTGAACTTCCCAGCCTCCAAAACTAAATAAAATTTGATAAACATGGTGGCGGGAAGGGAGTGAACCATCCGCACCCCACGCCGGCAGGCTCCCAGAGGCCACCAGCAAGAAGAGGAACTCAGAAAGCCTGATGGTGAGTCAGAATCTCTGGTGTCCTTGCTTGTGCCAGGGGTAGTTGTTACTATCCAGGTGGATTGCTCTGAAGGATTTCTGAGACCTTGAAGGGGACTCTCATAATACGTACACTGAGGTTTGGAGTGCATGTCATTTTGTGAAATTTACAAAATCCTCCCTGGGAAGAAGCCGCTGGGAGCGGCCGCCACTTGGCGCCTGGCCTACTCGCAGCCACTGCCCTCAGCGCCGGGCCAGGCTGCGCAGCCCCGCCACCGGGACTCAGGGTCCGGCGACTGCAGCCCCGGGCACTGCTGGAACCGTGAGCCGAAGAGAGACTGAGCAGGCTGTGGCACGAAAAGGAGCCAGGAGTGCCAGGGTTGGGGAGAGGTGGCCAGGGCCGCTTTGGCTGTGGAGGCTGCCGAGGGAGCTCAACACTGGAGCACAATGCAGGAGCTGAGACTCACCGGAGGGAGTGGTGTGAACGCCCCGCCATCTTCCTGGTAGTCAATTTTGGACTTGCCTGACA